TCTTACCACCAAATATTAATATCTGCACAATTCCTGTATTTCCCATACAGTGCTCAAGAATATTGCTATTTTCTTCTTTGTAAAAATAGATCATTTAAAAGCTCAGAAATATCATTATCTTCAAGAAACACATTATCCTTTAGGAGTCCATTTTGCATACCTAGGTCAAACTACAACAATGAACCCAGGAACATAATAATGGTTCTTATGACTGTACCACATGAACCTCAGTTTGTCAGAATTTTGACAAATCTATCCTTTTTGTTGTATTCTTTCAAGGTTCTTTGGCAGCTTGTATCAAGGTATATTTTTTACAAAAGATGTCATTGTTATTTCTGTAGACCCCAGGGATCCAATCCAACCATTACTTTCTACCTTGTGGCAAATTGTACATTCTGATATATAATTTCTCTTAAATTATGTGTTTTGATTACTGCTCACTGAGTAACTCTTCCATAAATTTATCTAATAAAATGTCTACACTCTTTAACTATTTATATTTCTATCAAATGAACAGCTCTATTTATTACAGGATTTGTAGCATTTGGCAGTTTTAGTTACCATATTTCACTGTATCCAAAGTTTGAGTGTTTTAAATCTTAACAAATCTTTCTGTGGTTTTGTCAAGCTGTCCTACTGACCGATATTTAGAAAAGTTTGTTGAAAATGATTTACATCAGACTCTGAAGATTAAGTAAATTATAACTTAGGAGATGATGAGTACACTAGAATGGGTGGCAACTGCCTATTGTAGAAAAAACACAAGTGTAGAGGACAAAAGACTTTTGAAACATTGTCCTCTACACTTGTTTTTCTACAACAGGCAGTTTCCATCCATTCCAGTGTACTCATCATGAACATTCTGCCTAAACAATCTTTCAAAGAATAAATTTGGAGATGTTGGTAGTGGATGCCTGAATTGTTCTAGCATAGGTATGTGGACTCTCTTGTGACAAAGGGATGAATTTCATTGTGTACTTTTTCAGATTTTGTACTGACTCTTATGCTATTAGTTGATCACCGCAATGATGTTTTCTTCAGTTGTACATACCTGCTTCACTCTGTAGTCTTTGCAAATTCAAGTAAGCCACATAGTTTTCTTCATCCTAAATCTTTCACAAAGCGATAGGTTAAACAAGTATATTTTTGGCCAATTAACCTATGGTTTCCCACTCCTGCACTCTAGCTCTTAATTATTATTCTAAATCATGTTCAGAACTTTTCTTCTAGCTTTGTCAAATCCTTTCTCTGTTGAGGCTGAAATTATATAACTTAAAATTTATCATACGTATAGAATAACTGGCAATCCAGATATCCAAGTTATTATTTTCAGACTTCACAATATATACATATGTATATGAAAATTTGAATGATGCTGTTAGAATGAGCCATAGTAATTTTTCTGTTTATATATTCCTCTGTACCAGACTGACAATAGCTTTGCCCCTCACTAACAGATAAAACTATGATGCTTCCATCAGACAGACAGACAGATCTCATACCAATATTGGAAAAGCAGAGGCAGCTTCCCACATTTTAGAAGAATAGACTACTGTAACCAACTGTAGCCATATTATCAGAAAGAAATATGGAGAAGCAAATAAAATAGGTAAAAATTCAAATATTATGAGTTTGCTATTTCTCTATGGTATGAAAATAAACTGCACCAAGTGCATTCATGTATTGAGAGTTTAGTGTGATCATTTATTATCAACCAATCAAATAGTACCACACCAGCATTTACCTATAGAAGAAAAGGCAGTCATAATATTCTTAGCAGTAGTGTAGAAAATGAACGTGTGGTACCCGGGACAGAAATGTTACATGACAAATATGAACTTGTGGTGCCCAGGACAGAATTGTTACATGACAAATGTGAACTCATGGTGCCCAGGACAGAAATGTTACATGACAAATGTGAACTCATGGTGCCCAGGACAGAAATGTTACATCACAAATGTGAACTAGTGGTGCCCAGGACAGAAATGTTACATGACAAATGTGAACTAGTGGTGCCCAATGTGAACT